ATGTCGGCACCGTTTTTATGAAGAGCCACCCGCATTGAAAGTAGCATTTTTTACAATTACGATTGTTAGGAGCCAAAATCTTGATAAGTGCATTTTGCTTTTTCACAAAGAGACACAAATCACACTGTCCCTCGTACACGTACAAAATGTATTGACTGGAAAGGCTGAAAAGAAGGTCAGGTATGATTTTGTTTTCACCAAGAGCACAGCCCTGTACATGTAAATGGCTTCCATACTTGTACATGTAAGCCTGTAAAGGGTTGGTCACCAACCATGGCTACAATACATGTACAAGTAAGCCAACCTTTCAGGTTGGCCACCAATCATGTCAGACCAGAGCTAATGGAGTGAAACTAATGAATTAATGGCTTGCTTTATTCAACTACCCAACTCTTGCATCAATACATGGCCCATAAGCATGCAACATTTCTTTCCCTTACAATACTAGTTGGCATGATTTGTTTGCCAAGTCAAAGATTATCATTTCTTCCTAAAAGAATGAGTTCAGTTAAGAATGATTTATTTATAGAAAGACTGGATGAAGTTACCTTATCCCTATATTCATGATGAATGTCTTATGGGAGAATCAAATTGCCTCAATATTAATGGATGGGTTAGACAATTGGAGATTGAAAAATGGATAATTGGATTTGTTCTCATTGCATACACAGGGAAAATGAAAAGGAGAAAACAAGGGTCCTGTCTGACTAGCAGGTTTGGGTTTCTCTGTGGCGAACAGATTTATTTGAAAATTTAGTGTGGAGGAGTGTTTACTTACGTTGACAGAAAACAGAGAGCCACTAATTACGCAAAACAAATTCAGGAGGATGCAGAAAATATAAAAACCTTTGAGTGATTCAAAACTGGTTTTACCGTCTGAAAGATTGTTGATGATTAAACCATTATACAAAATCAGTTGCAATAACACGCGCAGTTGTACATTGTAATCACTACAATAGCTTCTCATCACGTTTAGGAGTAAGTTAGTGAGATTTAAGAGACTAACAATACTTCTTGCCTGGTTGAAAACCTATATTCCTATTTCTATTTAATGCTTTTAATGAATAATTTACTTTTTGAATCATAAGATTTTTGTTGCTTTTCACTTGAATCTGCTTGAAACAAGCCTCCATAGTACAGTTTTCTCATTTAAAACAAAAGAGAATTTTCCCTTCTTTTTCATGAATTTTGCATTCGAATATACATTAATTGGGAAAATAACGTTCAAATATTTGATAATCGATTGAATATTCAGATATTCGGCACAGGCCTAGCCAGTTTTATCTCGGTCACAATATCTTCCATTCTGAATCAGCTGATCTACTGCACCCACAGTCCATTCTGTGAACGTAGCACTTTACAACTCTTCAAATCCCAAATCAATACATTGCCTTGCAAGCTCAAGTGAAACAAAAGTTTAAAAGCGCTTAAATTGGAATGTGCACATGTGTCAATAAGGTGTTTGTTGTAGCTCATCAATTTTTCTGATTGTTGGTTTGTTTACATCATGTGGGAAAGCCACTGGCATTCACAGCTGTTTGCCATATATCAACCTAGCACAGAAACTTGCTGTGTGTAATATCTGACCTCTTTGCCAGTTGGCAGAATGCAGCTATACAAAAAACTATATGCACATGTATGTAGCCACTGGTAGAGAGTGTGTTCTTTGCATCTGCACTTCTTAGGCCAGAAAGTGTCCAGAACTGATTACATGTACACGTAGCTAAACAGATTATGACCAGCGGTGACAGCAACAGTGCATGTTGGGACACCCCTCATGGTTGTGACAATCTGTTCCGTGCTGGAAGGAGAAATGGGCGTAGCTTTTTCTTGAGGGATGAGATGCCAGTCTTGGGGAAAACATCACTGATTTTGTGTATGAGTCTGGCATGGGACGCATTGAGCGTGGGTAACCATTTTTCGTGTTACAATGTTTGGTCTTGTGCACTGTTTGCCACATTTGTCATCACAGTTTTCCCACTAGGTTTTTTTACTCTTTGTCTGTGAGGGGATACCTCCAATCAAATGGATAAACAGAGATGTACATGTACATGCATTGAAGACTGCCAGTGGCCCGATTTCAGGTTCCTTCCCCCTGCTCCCAAAAATGATGCTGATAATCATTTGGTGTCATACATGTGTTTGTGTGTTAGTGTATAAAAGGATCACAATAATGTAAGTTTTACAAACAAACTTCCAACTTTCACCCCTGTGTCCCAGTCAACCCTGTTTCTAATTGTTGTCTCACTGTTTAAAGGGCATTCTGCTGCTTATTTGGTTTTTGTGCTAATGTGCATTTCCGTATTTTTTAGCAAAACTGTGATGTCACTCATCCCAGGAGGAAAACCTTAAATGTTACATGTACATTGGTTTGTGCAGAGAAGATCCCTGCATGTTTTTTAGACTTTACCAGCCTCAATTTTGCTTTCTTTGATGATTTATTGTTGAGTAAGTTTCCAGCAATAAGCAAGCATGCCACCAACCCATTCTCAGAAACGTTTTCATTGAGTTAATTCTGGGTTCACGATTTGAACAGAAAGACCTTTGCACTGAAACATATCTGCCTTGGATGGCATCACAGCAACGGCACCCTCAGTTGTCCAAGAAAGCATGGATAATTTAAAGAGGAACCAGGAAATAGAAATATTTTATAAATTTTACTAAAAACCCTTGAAATTTATTTTATTTATTTATTCCATTTCTTTACCCAGGGTACGCCCAAACAGTTAAAAAGTGGTTTCCATTGGGGCCCTGCGATCATTACAAATTTATAAAATAGTTAGAACTCACAACGAAAAGTAAAATTGACAAATACGACAAACATTTAAATTTACAAATACAAACCACTAAAATATCACACACATGTGAACATTTAAATAATCAAGGCATTAATTAAATACTGATTACTGGATGGGCGAAAACCCTGCAAATACCCTATGGGAAAAAAGAACATGGGGAAATTCCCGATCTGGCTCCAATGAACATTGGCAGCCAAGTTAACAACTCCATAGATCAGCATTTTGGACTACATGGCACTGGTCATGGCTTTCTGTAGTTCTGATTTGAATGCCCCTAAGGAGTCTATACTTCTGAGTTGCTCTGGCAAATTGTTCCATATTTTTGCACCTTTCACCACAAAACTTTGAGCTTAGCATTCTTTTTAGACTAAAGGGACTTTAAGTGCCTTGCTACATGTAACTGAGTATCTTGTTTCACGAATCTGTGTGAATGGCATAAACAGATTTTGTCATATACATGTACATCGGAGTCAATTTGTTTAGACATTTGAAAACAAGAACAGTCTTTTTAGATCTGACTCTCTCAGAAAATGGTACCCAGTTCAGTGTAGCAAACATATTCACTGAGGGGGTGAGAGGTATATTTGAGGATTCTCCGTGCAGCTCTTTTTAGACATTTGTTAAGAATGGTATCGTGGGATATGTATCTTCCTCCCCGTACTGTGCAACAGTATTATAAAGTTGGCATAACTAAGCTTATGAAAAGGGTTTGCAGTCTACTTTGATATAGTTCCGGATTCTGTTTTAACATACCTAATTTAGATGAGACTGTTTTTCTTACATAATCAACATGTGAACCCTAACTCAGTGTTTCATCGATAATAACTCCCAAGCATTTGCAAGATTTTTCTTTGACAATTAGGCTATTAGCAATGTAGAGGTTCAATTCTGTATTGGCGGTTTTCTGCCTTGAGCCAGTAAGCATGCATTTGGTTTGTTAGTTCAAGTTTGTTTCTTGAGCACCAATGTAGAATTCTGTCAAGAGCTACATGTACATTCAGACACCTTTCTATTTCATTAATATTGGAAGAGCTGCACGTTAGAGTGGAGTCATCTGCATACATATACAAGTTACAATTTGATGGGATACAGGATGGCAGATCACTTGTGTAAATAATGGATAAAAGCGGTCCTAATATTGAACCCTGTGGGACACCAATGGTTAGTGGCAGAACCTTTGATATGCTACCCTCAATATTTACCGACTGACTACGATTGCTTAGGTATGATTTGAACCAACCAATTAGTGAAGTAGACATGTTAAGCCTTTTCAATTTTTCCAGAAGAATTTCATTCATCTTTGGGTTTCAATTAACCTCATTTTAAATTTTTGTTTTGCAATTTTAACCCATATTTTGATGCTTTTGTGGTTTTTATGCTTATGGTATTTGCATATTCATGAGCAGAACTATGATGTCATCCTAGGCACTGAATCTCAATGTTGCACTGATTAGTTCACAGCAAATTTCCAGATTTTTTTACCACTGCCATGGCAGATTTCATTTCCTTTGGCAAAGTATACGGCAATAATCCAGCAAAAATCTCTTTTACAGAAATGTTCCCAAACAGCAAATCTGGGATTCACAATTTGAACATGAAAACATGCAACCTGAAAAATGTCTTCCTGGATTTATGTCAAAGCAAAAGCACCCTCACATGCCCAGAAATACTTGGTCAATTTTTAATGTTTGAAAAAGTGCGCCGTTCAGTTCACGTAATTTAAAAAAGATGTCAAACGGTCAGAGATACTCACAAAGTGATTCTAAGAAAAATTCGTTTTCTGGATCCTTTAAACATTTCAAGAAGTGTACTTCTCAACCCGTGGGGATGTCAAAGACTTCCATACATTGAAGGAGAGTACAAAGTTGCAGAAAAGAAAAAAAATGGCTGCAGCTACACTTCAAACTTTACCTGTGTGTACGTGTGTTTGCTAAAGTGCTGGAGCCCACTTAACACCTCTGAATAGAACAAGCAATTGAGCTCTACTTATAGTCGTGTTTTTATTACACCACAGTTTTTACATTTTAATGTGAATGCAGTGGGGGGGGGTTTCAGATAGACAAGGCTTGCCTCCTAGCAGACTATTACTACTGCCTTCGTCAAGATGAGCAGTGATGTCGTGTGGGTGTAAACTTTGGAGCATTGTGTTAAGATCTGAATATGTTGATTACAAAATATATCTTGTTTGCTTGTTTGTTGCAGATGAAGGGGAATTTATTGAGGTTATCCATGCACCTTTGCACGAACTCAAGGAAAAACTAGATGGTATGGATTAGTCTTGACTTTACTGTACTGTGCTTGGCACTAATACAGTGTTGGTGGAAGTTCAAATTTTTGAATGCAATGAGATTCACTGAAATATGCACTTCAGAAACAAAACCCAAAAAACCCTCATATTTATCAGTCTTCATGGCGTGTACTGTACTTGTCAGGTGCATCTGGAGAATTTGTTAATATATGTTAGAAAAGGTTCTATTCAAGGTACACTGCGTTTGTTTTTAATTCAAATCTAGACAAGTGTGAATCATAAATAAGGCGGGGCATGGCATTTGTTGGCAAGATTTGTTGAAATATTGTGTGACAGATGCAGAAATCCCCAGTGATCAGTTTTAAAGTCAAATGCAGTTTGAGGCTTTGCATATTAGTGAGCTCACAATTGAGATGTGATGTGTAAAAAATATCATGTCTTGGAAACCCTTCGTGCAAAAGTAAAATAGATTGCCACTGATTCTAACTTGATGTCATGCTCGGTGCAGTCTTTCTGTCTTTTGGAGATTGCCCGGAGATTTTTGAGAAAGATAAAAATGGATGTGGTGTATATGAAAGAATGACATCCCTAATGAAAAGTGGTGTAGCCATCCTGGATGGTGTCTGGGTTCTTCAGACATATGGACTCCATTTGGGATGAAGACAAGTTTCTTTGTTACCTGGCAGTGGCGGCTTATCCGACCTGAGCAGAAGCACCCCTTCATTAGTTGAAAAGAGCCACGCTGGTCTGGAGTGCTCATTCGGTTGGTAGCAATGTGACAGCAATGCCTGCGTTTCACTCTCATTCACGAACCAGCGATGTGTAGTCACTGCCAAGGGAGTCCCCCTTGCTAGGAAGACCGCACCTACTCTTGGTCCAGCTCGGTTCTCATTGTTAGTCTGTGCAGTTTAAATACTCGATGATGAGCCTAGCATTGAGTATTCATGGCTTAAATGTTCATTTTATGTCACCAATTTCAACAAAATGTGAACATGGTCATCCTTTTGCCGTACATGTACCACAGAACTGAGTGATGCAGGAGACATTGTGGATTCCAGGGTCTATACCTACGCAGCCACGCTCCATCAGTGCCAGCACAAAGCAGAGGATGTAGACCTGGAGCAGCAAAAAGGGCTCTTCAAGAAATGATATCGGCAGACCACTCATCATGAGCCAGATCGGTGTTTCAAAAATGGCAAGGCTAGTTCAGAACAGAGCACGTGTGCAAGTTGGTGGATGGGCCCCACTGACCTCGGACTTGCTTCATTTTGGACAGGCACTATTGGAATACCGAACTGGCCCCTTTGTAAGGCTAGAGTGATGCAGGTCAAGCTTTTGCCATCTTCCTCTGGTCTCCAAGGGACTGGACCTTAGTGAGAAATGATGGAGCCTCATTAAGATAGTCGCCAGGGTTAGTTTATACCATCTCCTGTTTGTGGGCCAGTAGGCATTGATAAGCATGTAAGTGGGAAGTTAACCTGGCTTCATAATGATTAATGGTTTAGAGACCGATGGATGCTTGCAATGCCCCACCACTTTGAGATGGAAACCTACCCTGATTTTATTTTACTTGGTTGTGAATGTAAGAAATTGAGGATCAAGTGACTTATAACAAACTCTTACAGTGAAGGAGACATTTTGTATATGTGCATTGGGATTAATTTTGTCACTCATTCGAGTGATTTTAAACACTGAACAATCGGGACACAGAGGTAGGCTGGGATCATTTCAAATATCCTTTAAAATAAAACAAAGTGGACTTTGAATTGTTTGTTGCACAGACTTGCATTTACGAGGCCTTATTGTTTCTTTGCAACCTGTTGCCTATTTTTGGTAATAAGTAGGCAGGCTGCCTTAAAAAGCTCCTGTAGTGTTGTGTTTTTTTCTGCCAATGCTACCAAACAAAGTGAGTTCAGGCTGTTTTCATGTTTCCGTTCTGCTTCCATGTGCATTACAGTTTTTATTTCATTTTTAAATTTTAGCCTTCCAGTACCTTTAGTCACCACCTTTATTTTGTCAAGTTTTGTTGTTTTTGTTCAGAGAGATTTTAAACTTGATGTACACTCATTATGCATACAGCACAGGGAATTCTTGTCAAGTCATTACATTTGACTTTGATTATAGAATCCTAAATCTGTTCCAGATTTTATTTCAGTAATTTCTTTCGAGAACATACATTATAGTAACCCTTTTTGTAATCTGCGGCAGAGTTATGTAAATAACATTTATCAATGGATCATTCCGATGTGATATCCATTCTGATGTAGTTATATAAATAATATAATCAATGACCATTCTGACATGATCGTACTCTTGGAATTATTGTATTTTAATTTGTCCAGATCCATGTCTTCGAGGCAAGTATGCACGCCTTAGGGAGGCTTCGTTACTGCTTCGTGATTGATATGATTTTTGCCTGGCAAAAATTGAAAAAATATCGTGAGAAAGCTGTCATTAACCTTAACCTGTACCCGGTCTTCCACAATTCCCTGAGTGTGTTTTATAAGGAGTGAGGTTATATGTCAACAAATGTGCGCAGAGCTGATTCAGAAGGATTGACTGAATCAATTTTTTTGGGCCTGGACTGGTGTTATTTACGCACAGCCCTGCTTAAATGGATGACAAGATCATGCATTGCACCAGAAATCATCCAGGGTACAATTCGCACTGCCTCAACATATTGACAGGAATAGACCTAAAGCCCAGTAACGTCACTCCTTTTTTGCACTTTCATGTGGGGGCGTGCGTTGGTGGACCTTTGTCCGAGTCGAGTACTCGGCATGTCGTATAGAAAAGCGCATGTGTAAACAAAGCTTGACGTCATTATGCCGTAGGTGTATTGCCGGAGGATTCGGAAGGATTTACCAGGCAGCAGTATCGTGATACACATCCAAGGGAACACGAGAAACAATGGATGATGATCGCAAATTGAGGCTATATCCAGTTTTTGGTACGAAGGCAGTTGGCGGATTTAGCAGGATTGCGGTTGTATCCTAGCAAAAATGCCCTTGGGGACAGTGGGACAAAAATGAGGAATGGGATGCACGTGCTGTACACATGAAATTTATGCCGTTGCGTAGCAACCGGTTCGAAATGTTCTCGGTCGAGCCATGCTGCGAAATTTTTCATCAGTGCTGTTTGGTATTACAGGAACTAGCAGTCACAATTTCTGAACCAACCAAAAAAACCCTCAAGTATTTATTAAAATCGTTGCAGCCAGGGGCATAACCTGAATATTGATTCGTAATACGTCATGAACTAAAGCTTCATATTGTTTATGCGAAGTTTAGTTTAGTGATACGGTGTCAATATGCGTTTAGTTTTGAGACATACTGCAGGCTTTCGGATATGAGCAGGTGAAACTACATTCTATCTATCGGACATTTATCAATTCTGGAGGGTACAGGTGCAAAACGGACAACCTGACTGAACCAAATCGTCTAAAGGCCAATGGGATAATCCATAGTAGAAGTGGTAGCGATTAAATGAGGTCTCTCGGCTTACGTTTGCGGAGCCAATATTAAATTGTACTATCCTTGTGCAATTTGACTTTTACGAAAGCACCCTCGCTCATCCTTTCAAACTACTCACCGTCCACTGACGCACGTGGGGTGGTTTGTCGTTTGTCAATGAAGTCGAAGTAAACTATTAAGTTTCATTGGGTGCCGACTTTCGATTACTGCCGTCACAAATGCGACATACTCCAGATAGACCTAATCTAGACACCTTCTGATGTCAATGAAATTTGTGTTCGGGTACCAATATCCTTAGTTGTCGATTCCTGAATATAATCAACAACGGAAACAAACAAATTTGGTTTTTTAAATGCATTTTGTCAATTCGATACCGTGGACATCATACTTTTTTAATATGGGTAAACAGATTTCCAAGACATACTTAAAAACGGTGAATTTAGTGCCGACTCGGGGAGGGGAGTCATACCTCGCGTTTCTCAGACTAATAAATTCTCTTTTCGTGATGATTTCTGCTCGTCCTGGAAGATAATGTTTCATTGTATAGTTTGTATCTATAAACGCGTAATGCTATGTCCAAAAGTGTAAACAAAGTCTGTCACACTATTTTATTCAAACCATCATACCATGGAGCATTAGGTATTGCGACAAGATCAAAGATTGTGCCGGGTATCTTTGCACAACGCAATACTTCTTGTAAATTCGAAATTATGTCTTGTGGCCAAAAGCCCCGCCAGTTATATTTATGTAAGGTCAAACCCTCAGAGAGCAAAAAATACTGCTGATGTGGTAGGCCTACTCCGCTTTTAGTGTTCCGTAGGGGCCATAATATACGTTAGTGTCCAGAAGGCCCTTCTTATCCATAAGTATGCTACGCCAATGGCAGAGCGCTGGTGACAAGCGCTGGAGCCTCGCTTTCCATTTTCGGACCTCAATTGTAGTATAGGCCTTTCTTAATATTTATGCAAATTGTATTCAATGCAACTGAAAACGAGGCTGTAGGGGACTTGCGTGTCACGGTGGCTGTATAAAAAGGACGGGAACTTTCCGTGGTTCCCGAGGTAATCTTCGGGTTTGTGGAGGATTACGCCAAAAGGGGCTCCAAAAGCAGTGGACACCAACAGCTTGGTAAAGGCTTCAAGTATTTTCAGAAGCCTATACATTCATAATATGAAGGGTAAGCAGTTTATTAACAGGATTTTGTCTGGGACCTTTATTGACGTTGCAACTTTCATGCATGCACTATTTATGTCTAGGACTAATTTAATGGCCGGTTGTCGCCACGATCGAGCAGTTTGAAGACCTTTTTTGCCATTCAGCGGGTTACCTTTAATGACTGGGCCGTTTCCGTTCGAAGTTTAGAATTCTATAGATGCTAATTCAAAAAATAGAACACAGAGTGATTTCATTATGCTGGGCGGGATCAATCATGGAGGAAGGAAATGACTGGATCATAAATCGAATTGCACCAAAGTGCAATGACGTGTACGGTGTAGGGCTAGTGATACGAATTTTTATCGTTCCAGAGTCAAAATCTACCTTGAATAATGGCCCCTCGTCTCGTTTGATCTGAACAATCCACTTTTTCCGCAGGAACTTGTTTTTGGGAAATCGATGAAAGCTAATTTCTGGCGATGATCTTCGTGATTGCTACAACACCGCACTGAACAATGCTTCGCCGTGTTTGCCGACAGCGCTAAGTCCCTCACATCCTCGTTTTCAGTTCCTGTGCAGAAAATTGGCATTAATATTAAGAAAGCCCGTATAGGCCCGCACAGTCCGGTTTAAGGTGTGAATAATGCACAACCCAAAGACCTGGTCCCCGGCCACTTGCCTTGTCTGCCTCATATTTGTTGGTCGAGTCCAAGCCTGTGTGCCACAGATCGACTTGAAATTTCACAGGGTTCCAGATTAACTCTGCTACCTAGCTTTGCACGAACATGTCTAAAGCTGATTTTCTTGTAATTTACAGGGCTTCAATTAAAATGGATGGGCCTCACTGAAGAGAAGGAAATTACCGGGGTCTTTATTTGTTTTCTGTATACCTGCACAAACCTCCGTGTTTGATCACTCGGTTCGGCTATTTGATTGGTAAGTTTAACACGAATCTGAAATTAAATAGGCGTTGAGCCGTTGACAATGATCTTTCTATGGCCACGGGAGCTATCCAGCAAGAAGAAATGACAGGGAGGTTCATTAGAGCCCTCTCGTAACATACGCATACTTTTGTGCTTTTCTTTTCGTTTATCACTTGCGCTTGTTGACAAATCAACCACCAAAATAATGCAGCACGTGTGAAGGCAGTGGCGTAACCACGATGACAGGGCGGGCACTCTCTGCGGACGGCTTTCCTCCTTGCCCATTCGAAATTTCGAAGTCTACACAACCTATGAACAACCTGCAGTTAATTAATTATGATTGAAGGTGCCCTTCTTGAGATTGTTCACTGCAGTTTACAGGCTATTAGCCAAAGCCTGTGTGAATCTCTGTTGAGTCACGCCAGCCCGTCTCAGAACTGGTGTTATATTAAAAACACGTCGGCGGGTTTGCAAGTTTGAAGCGGGTTGGTGTGAAGTTCGGATGGAGATTTCTTTGCTAAAATCCTATTCAGCAAATGCACTGTCCTTTACTCAAGTTCAGTGCCATTATATTCTTGTTACATTCAAACATAGGCGTAAATCCCTTGGGGGTGGTGGGCATATATACCCCCCCCCACATACACACACACCCACACTTTTAAGTGGGGGGTGGGCTAATGAATCATCCCCACTTGTTCACAGTGAGAAAAAATAAAGGCAGATTGTGAAGGCTTTTTCGGACTTCCCAACAACCGAAATGTATTCAATAGCACCCCAAACGCACTGACACATAATACACCGTTTTGATCGAAGGTTTAGCAGGACAGATACCTATCACAGATGAACATCTGTATGACGGACATTGCCCTACAGCGCCGTCACCCCCTCCCCGTTTGTCTAATTTCCATGGCCGAGCAAGCCATCCCCCAATTCCCCCTTCCCCATTTTTGGCACAGAAGTATTCACACCGCGCCACTGCACGTGAGCCTGCCGTGATAAACCCTTCTTGTTATAAGCCATCCAGCTGGTTGGTTAAGTTGATGGGCCGGCGTCCCGATTTTGCTCACAGATACAAAAGTAAGTCTCACCCTACTCCCAGCTCCGGTAATGATGCTTTTGCCAGAGTTGTAATGACTCGATTCAACGATTCAACTCGAGTCCGACCGGTGTCACAATCTTTTGGCGACTCGATTCGACTCGAGTACCGACCGATAAATGACTCAACTTGACTCGAGCCACTCAGCTGCCAGCAAATGACTTGGTTCGAGTCCCTCAACAGAAGACCCGACTCAGCGAAAAATCACTAAGACTTGAGTCCCCAAAATAAAAGTAAACTTCTTTGTGAAAAAATATTGGTAATCTTATCGTGTCATGTGTTATCATCAAAAGTAAGATGAGGTGCTTACCACATCCTATTAAGAAAAAAAAACGACAAAAAGTAACTTTCTCTCTTTTTGTTTCTGTTTATCGAAAATTGTTGTGTTCAAATGTTTGCGATTCGAACTGACTCAAGCCAAATACCTGATTAAACAGTGATTTGACTTTTTTGCCTAATGATACTATGGACTCTACGCGAGTCACAAAAATTAGTTACTCGTAACAACTCTGGCTTTTGCCCTACATTACCAACTATACATGTGCTATCAATGGTCCTTCCATTCTGCATAAAACGGGGCAGTTAAGATTGACTCAAAATGTTTTCCTAATACTTGGAGCACTGCTTTGCTATCTGTATGGATGCCTTGACTTTTTACTTGAAACACTTGTGTGCCTGAATCTCAACGTGAGACACAACTCGTGCCTGAGTGTGCGTTGTCTCATAAAAAAGAGACGATCTGCTGGTCTTTTCAAATTTCAAATATATTATATTTCATATGTTCAATGGCTTGGATGATAAGGGCAGTGAAAATTAACATCACTATCATATACTGCCCATGAGCCTTGTATTTTACGCAGCTCACCACTGGCTTTTACGTTGTCAGCTTATAAAACCCAAAGGAATTACTTGCCTTTTTGACGTCCTAATAACGTTGTTACGGATACCCTCGCAGCCCATCGAGCCTCCAGTTATACTGTGTAAATAGAAACCTACTTCATTTTGACAATGGCGACAGCAACCTTCCTTGTCGCTGTTGAGCGGCAACAGCGCGACAAGAACTTGCCTTCAATGGTGGAAGTACGAGGGTGACGAATTTATAGCTGCCACAGCTGCTGTATAATTATACTTTCTAGGTCTGAACGATGAATTTTCCCTCCCTAAAATTTTTTAGCACTTTATTTGACATTCAGACATTTTACTAGACTCTTCATCTAATTGAATCGATGTTGCAATCCACTCCACAAAAGTACGCTAACGTTTCCCATAGGTCCTGTGCTGATATTAATGACAAATGCGCCCTAAAATTACGCTTCCCGGGCTCCGTGAGTTTCAACGAACACGATTCTGACCCGAATCCTATAGACTCCCCATTATCGACAGTTGTTTTATTAAGGAATTAGGGTATTGCTAGAAGGAAACCATTTATGTTCTTTTTACGGTACCTTGTGTTACGTCTCCTCGTGCTAAATCGAATAAAAATGCTGAGGCACAAGGAGTTTGCGAAATCATAAATGTACTGCCGTGAGGTCGTCTCGTAAAAAAAAAACCAACTCACTGTCGCCAATTGCAGGTGCAGAATGTAAATGAGTTTCGTTTGTTTATTAATCACAACTTTAAGGATATGGGTGGCGGAAAGGCTGTGTTCTAATCAGAGGAGACTATGTTTGATTGAAGTGCACTAATTACCAAAGACAGCTGTGTTTTAGGTCCAATATATGACAAGGAATAAATTGGGTTTCGTTGTTATTTTCTTTCAATGGCGCTTTCAGCTACTCAGGCTGTTTGCGCCAATAACTGCATGTACGTTTATTCATAGCCTCTAATTAATCGGCATCACATTACAGAGTTAGGAAGAAGGTCCCAATTTTAGAGGCAGGAGGAAACCGGAGTACCCGGAGAAAACCTGCGATAGCGAGTATGGACTGGACACCAAAAGCACTTAAAGCCTCGACCAAGCCGGGAGTCGAACCCGGGCCTCATTGGTGCAAAGAGAGGAAAGAACCGCTACGCTAAACCTCCTAAACAGGGTTTTTTGGTACCTAGCTCCCTTTATAAACTGGCGAACAAGACTGTGTAATTCTGTTTCAAAGCGCTGTTTTATAAGTTTTGTTGTTGGAAACAAGGACTTGCCATGAACTCGATAACCCTTCCCCTATAAAGAAGCCGTATTGACAGTCTTTACGTAACAGGTTCATTCCATGCAAATTGTTGAGAAGTTTGACTAATCTTTTGCAAATTTTCGCCTAAACGTCTGTTTTCATTCTCTAAGAGTAAGACTACCGCTGTCTGCACGTTTTAGGCGGTTGGGGAAAAGGCTTTTTTCTATTTTGCACAACTTTTAAAATATCTGAAATGTGAAGAGATTCTACATTAACATTTATGCTTTCTGTATAGTGACTTATAATCCATTTGGCGTTGCAATCTTCATGAATAAATTTACTAATCTTATCCCCAACAGTTTCAGACACATAATGATTATTTATTCAGATCCCTTCACAATGTCTTCTTTCCATTTAGCGGCTTCCCGCTCTCTAGATCAACCTACCATTTTATAGTCCTCGCTTACGGAGCACCATTGACAATACAACCATAGAGCAATCATTTTTCTTACATTTTGTTGTAACTACATGTACATCAAAGCAAATTGTCTCGAATGTTCTGAAGCTCTCCATTGCTGTAATTCGCTATTTGAAATTTTCCACGTTTCTCGCAAGCGCCACAGAAATTTGCATTTTTCAAGGGAATCCGGACTTTCTCAAAACCAGGTATCACCTTCAACCTTTGCATGTTTAGAAATGTGACAGCTGTCAAGCGGTTAAAGAAAACGTGCACGAACAGTTCATGCACGTGACCAACGCGTTGGTTTCGTGTATGCACCAATCGTGCACGTTGTGCATGTGGATACAAATGACTGTTTAATTCAGTTCAAGTGAGTCAAATAAAGTTTTCAAATAAAAGCAGGTAATTAAAAAGTTTATATAAAGACCAATAATATAGATTGTAATAATATTTATAACAGTACAGTACATAAGTTACGAACGACTGTACATATTTAAGGGAGTGAAAAGTTATGGGGCAAACCGAGGTTTGTAGAGCAAACACATGCACGTGCAATATTAGGAAAGGAATGAACAAACGGTACTTGAGACGGGACACTGAAAACCGAGACAAAATTACTAGTTTTAATGAAGAAAGTGTGATAAAAGAGATAATGCACTGTATGAAAACGTTGCAACAAAACAAAGTGAAGAGAAGATGGCTAAAGAAATTAAATGAAGTGGGAAAGCTATGTTACATGGTGTAGAAGGAGAGCACTTTGGTATGAGGATTTAACATGGTCCATGCATAAATGTTCCCGGGGCTCCCCCCCCGATACTCCGTTGTTGGCGTATACCGTACACGTACTCCCATGACAGATGAACCTTTTGTCAATTCTTATGGAATATATTCTGACCAATTTATTATCCAAGTTGTCAGAGGCTGGCATAGGGAGACATGACTGGAGACTAGATACAGGCTGAAGTCGTTGCTTCGCACACGCTCCAATCACGCTGCCCGATCCTGCAAGGCAAAAAGCGCGCGCCCGGGGTTCAGGATGCACCAGCATACACGTACATCCAGTACATGTATGTTGATCATCCGCCAACAGTTTGTCAATGTTTCCCCCGGGTATTGCAGGGCCCGAGGCGGAGAAAGCCCGGGTTCGGTTTACTCACATATTGATTAGCGCGTGGGCGCATCATTCGCTTCTCGTCTGCCGTCCAAACAGTTGATGAGGCATCGCTCTTCACACAATTGCCACATCGTTCGACCTAACGACGTGCACGTCTTGAGCTTAGCTTTACACTCTCACTTTCCTCCGTATTGCAAGGATGTCTGAAAGACTCAGTCCTGTCGCGTCGCTCAGGTATTTATTGTAAACAACTGAAGCCAGAACGCATTCTCTACCCATGGCCTTTGACGGTGAGTCTTATTTCTGGAATGACTTTCCTCATTAACGCACACAGCAGTCTGTCGGCGAGAACAACATTGCTTGTATTTGAAACATCATTTTGGTTGAGAAGGTAGTTCGCCTTTGGTATTTCACGGCACCCTTAATGAATGACCGTCGATATTCAGCATTTATTTGATATTGTTGTCTGCATATATGCCATTAATGGTAAAGTTCTCCATCACTGGCTGACATCTCTACCTCATAATCATGATGAGGATTCATTAATGTGCTGAATCAAGTGATGTGCATTCCCTGTTCAAGGGCTACATAACCAAGTTAACATATGTTCGGATACGAACATAATGGATACGTGTGACTTTCAGTAAACATTCCCGCTGTTGAAATCACACCACTCTATTGCATCTCGTGTCTACTTTTTATTGTTATGTTACGTGACTATTTTGTATACAACAGATTGTGTATACTGCGTTTTACTGAAACGTATTATGAAGCATTTTGTTCACTGGTGACCCATTTATGATTGCACACTCCATCGCCTACACGTACTTGTGCACGAAAAAAATTGTTTTGAATAAGCAAGTAGTATTTCCTTGACAACTCATGACTTTGACCGTCATTTTTGACTTTGCTCCATAATTACCACTGTTACTAATTCACACCCTTGTCGGTGAGGAACCTTTTTTCCTCTAAAATCAAAACTCAGACAAAAAGAACTACGACACACTGAAAAACACGCATGACAATAAAAGAAAGGCTACCGGTACACGAGCACGTCCATAGTTTCCACAAGTATTATCGAAAGGAATAAAGAACGTAAAAGAACTGCAAGAACAGGAATCAAGCAAAAAGAAAAAGAGGAGCATCAACGCTCCCCTCCGTAGAGTTAATAAAAATGGTACTAACAAATCGTTTATTGATCATATGCTAATTAAAATGAAGTTAACTTAGCTGCATATACATTGCTTTATTACCTCACTCGGGCAAATCCGTAACTACCCCAACTGCGTCCATGACACACTGTTGAGCGTGCCGCATTTTGTCGACACAGTTGGACGTGCCTACGCCTATTTAAATATATATCCGCCTCGAGCAGAAGCACCCCTTCATCGTTTGAAAGGAGCCAGTGTTTATTTCGTTGGTAACGATGCGACCGTAACGCGTGCATTTCCTAGTGATTCGTGGATCAGCGAAGTTCATTTCCGACCGAAGGAGCCTCCCTAGCTAAAATTGCGCCCTCTCGCGACTCATACTTTGGCAGTCCATCGGGATTGAGTATAAAAGAACGCTATAAACTTAAATTGCAATAAGTGGGCGATTCCAGTTTTCAAAGGGTCTTTGCATTATAATCAGTCTTACAAATTGGCTGTTTCGTATCAACCTCAAGCAGAAGCACCCCCTCATCCATTGAAAAGAGCCGCGTTGGTCGGGAGCTGTCATTCTGTTGGTATAGCGATGCGACTGTGACGCGTGCATCTCATAGTCGTTTGTGAACCAACAAAGTGCAATCCAGTGCCAAAGGAGCCTATCTTTCTACGAAAATACCGCAATCTCTCCCTCCTGTATGAGACCATAGGTGACACCACTGCATGCCACTTGTTTTGTTTTCTGCATACCGTCATGGCGTTAGGATACGGAGGAAAGGCCCCATTAATGCTGTGTCGTATTAATAAAAGTGCGCAAAAATCTAAGATGTTGGGGAGGGGGACTTTTCCAGGCCAGGGAGTTTTTGAATGTCCTTGAAACACACTTGTGGAAGAGATCTGGAGCTGTCTTAAAATCTGAATAGGAATTCAGTCTCCAGACTTTTTATTGCAGATAATATATTTTAAAAAATCAGCTTATTATTGTTGTTGGCGTTTAAAACTGTTGATATTATGATTTATTTTCTGAGGTACATGCACTTCGTACACGAAGTAACTTTTTATATGGAGATCGTTGGATACTACTGTGAAAAAATCATGCCACTTAACTTTGTGAAAGGAAGATGAAGTGATACTTTTGGCTTTGTGGATATTAAACCCTCTTTGTCACTATAGACTTGAATGAAGACGACAAGACAACATTATTGGGAAAGTTTGAGCGACGACGATTTGTCGACTATAAGTTGATTTTCCCTGGTAAACTGCGCAGAAATGCAACCTTTGTACGAGGCAAAATTTGCCAGTGATTGGACAAAATTTCTCGTTGCTCAAACTTTCTTCCAGAAAGCGCATTTGATTACTATCGCGACTACGTTCAATACTGGTGATTCACAATGGCGCGCCTCCAAGAGTTTGCAACGCGTTGACCAATCACAAGGCTCGAAATCTGTCGGTCCTTTCCAAACGCGCATTGGGTCGACAGATTTAGCGCACTGTGATTGGCCAACGCGTTGTGAACTTTTGTGAAATGCCCGTAGTTGGCACTCACGTTGACATCTTGCACATACTCGGGCTTGGCCCAAGTAAGCTGACCCGCCGATACCGAACATATGTCAGCCTAGTTGACTGTTGCAGAGGAAAGTCCATGCCCTTGTAAATGAATCTGAAAGAACGGTTACATACAGAGGTAAATTGGCTCCTGTCAAGCAAGTTACGCCCACAAGGCGAGTCTCCAACAAAAGACTGTCGTTAATATGTAAAAACACGCTTTCTTTAAATTCCACTCCCCCGCCTAAACTTATGACAACATTACAGTAACTCGAGGGAGTAAACGAAAACGTTTGGAGTGTTCCATTACTGATCTTTTTCCAATTCGAAAGTGACTTCGTCGTGCACGTTATGCAACACTCTGCAAGCTCCCATTGGATAAGCACTCTAGTTGTGCGTCAACTTCTGGTTCCATGGTTCCATAGGCTAGCTAATTTTATGAACAGTGGGCGTGGTTGAAACTGAAGTGACGTCACATTTATGGATAGGGCAAGGTTGATCAATGACCACTAGTTAACTATTGGTTGGTTCGTGACGAACGTAGCGCATGTGCAGTGAAGTTGAAGTGCGAACGACCCTACTCAACCGTTGTCTGGTCTTTATGCCAAAGGGGAGAAAAGGTGGCCGCAGGAAGGGCAAACTAGCAAAAATAAAAGTGAAAATAGTCGTTTGCTAGTGACTTACTGTTTTCCCGGCATATCTCTTATAACTGGTCCTCTCTGCACTGTGCTATTACAAACGGTTTATGGCAACGAACGATACGACCAACCTCGGTAGGCTGGTCGCAAATAGCTGACTAATCTAGTCATACCATCGTCGACTAACGTGAGTTCGATGACAGATAGTCGAACTATGGTTAACTATGGTCCTTGATCGAACTTCAATACCCATAGGGTGCGTTCGATTAGCTTACACGTGTAAGTCAAACTTACACGAGAGCGTTCGTGTAGCCATCACGTGATTCTCGTGCCTGCCCTAGTGTCAGCCACTGCTACCCCGGCTGGCGAGCGGGTCTCTGGAGGCTGCCCGAGTGTAATGACGTCACGGATGGACTGTTCGTGCAATGACCTACGTGGCGGGGACTTCACCTTTTTCCCAGAATGCGTTGGCGAGTACACTGCAGCGTTCGATTACCCTCATTTCGAGGCTTCCCTTGGTGTAACACTGTTGTATTCAGGGAAGCTTATCGAACGCACCCTATGATAAAAGACTACATCGGCGCGGCCTGCTTATACTTGCGCATTCAATGTGAAATGCAATGATCTCAGGCCGTGCCCGAAACGGGCTTCCAGAGCTACGGCTCGGTGTATTGTCTACGCGTCTCCACGCATTTCCAATGGAACGAAGACCTAGACCTAGCTCTAGACAAGAGAGTCGGATGCAGCCTTAACTTCGATTCGGTGGGCTGGGCGCGCGCTCCTTCAACATATCGCGCAAGGCATGGTGGGATCCAACATGGACGTAAAGTGTATCCATTGATCTTCATTATAAAGACTGGATAGGACATCGCGTCCAAAACGTGTCCCGCGTATGCGTATTTTCAGGAGGGTAAATAACGAGCGTTGCAATATTTGTTGCCCGCGCTTTCAAACGGAGTTTGTCAAAAATATGTTGAGATTATTGTACTTTAATCGTTAGATTGCGAAGAAAAATTGAATTCTGCACCGGGAGTGGATAATTTTTGGAAAAAATAACGGTTGAAGTGTGCACAGCATGCAGTGAATTGCCGCAGATCGATGGTAAATCAAGTTTGGAAGAAGGAACAGCTTTTGACATGTGAGTTGCACTTTTAGAAAGTCTGTATAGCCCTGTACTTAATAATGCTGAATTTAAGCCTATAGTAACAAATTTATGACAGTGTATCTAGCCTATCAGGCTCACTATATTGAAGTTGGGACAGTCTGAAATATTACTACACTGCGTTTTCAGTTAACACTGATGTTTTTCATTTCGGAAAGTAGCTGTTAAATGTTAATCTAATTTTTCTAATCTGAGTTACAAGTAACTGTGATAAAAATGATAGTAAACATTAGTTTGGCTTTTCAGTTATTGCTGGGCTCATTTTGTGCCCAGAAAAGAATCTCACACTTCTGTATGCCACATGTCGGTTTTCAATCAATTTATTCAATATCATGAATGAATTTCAGTACATTTTTTTTCTCTCACTGTAAAATTAAAATTAAAACTTTATTTTATTTATTAATGAAATGTTTTAGCCTTTGTTCATCGAAACCAGAGAGAAAAACACCTGGACAGTTTGGACATCATATTTACCGGCAAACCTATTGTGGGTCATGGTGGAATTCTCAACTTTTAATATACTGAACAGGTCACGAGTGAACCGACCAAAAGTGAAAATATTGCCCAAGCAAGACCGCAGACAACGGGTGTGAAAAATCAATTAAAAACAAAACAAACACACAAATACACAAAACAGAATAAGTGGGTTATTTAATAAGAAAATTTTCAATTCACTCCCGAAATGGTATTCTTGATATTTATGTTTCTTTTTTTCTTTTTTGTTGGTTGTTTTTGAGAGGGAGGCCAAGGACATAGCTGCCGTCCCAAAAGAAAAAGGTTTTCCCTGTAATCAATTTTGA